CCCTCCCTTCTTTCTTTCTTTCCTTCCTTCCTTCTTCCTTTCTTTCTTTTTCTTATTATTTGTGCCTAACCCTGCTTTGAGGCCCAAGAAAACAAAAAGTGCTGCTAGTATAAAGGCACCATCTGTGCCTGTGAACCCTGGCAGGGCCCAGGCACAGTTTTGGAACCAGAAGGGTTGACTAGAGTGATGTGCAAGTGAGTCTCCAGGCCTGCTGCCCTGCGCAGCCTCTTTTGGCAGGAGAGGCCTCCCTTTGCACAGCTTCCCGAGCAGGCAGCTCCTCCAACACACTGCTGAGAGCAGCTCTGCTCCCTGGGGCTCCTGCTCCGACAGCAGAGATAATGAGGTTACCAGCCCGGAGAGCCGCCCCTGCAGCTGCAGGCCTCTGGCTGCCAGCCTGCGCACTCGGAGCCTTCCGGTGACAGCTGCGGTTCCCTGGCTGTCGGGGGGCATTTGTCACAAGACCCGGTGGGCAGGCAGGAGGGCCCCAGGCAGCTGGCCAGATGCTGCCAAGATCGGCCTTGCCCCAGGTTTCTAAGCCATTTCCCAGCTTTGCTATTTCCTTTCTGTCCCTCAAATTGGAGTGGTTGATTTTTTTCCCCCATCAGCTGCCCTGCTTCAGTTCCTGACACACAAAGCTGTTTTTCCCACTGATTAGAAAAACAGGGCCTTTGGGGCGCCTGCAGGCATCCATGCAGTAACAAACTGAGAAGGGGGAGAGTGGCAGTCACCTTCACAGATGGCAGCCAATGTTAGCGGGGGAGGCAGTTCCTAGTCGTGGTACACCCTGGAGAGGGCAGGCACTGCCCAGCCCTTGGAGGGAAGGTGGCCTTTCTCCCATGACAGGGGGCAAGCAGGTGTGGTCCTGAGGGATGGTGAGCCTGCCCCAGTCTAACTGCCCACCTCCTATGGCCGCATCATACTGGTCCACTGCAGGGGTGCCAACCCCGGCAGACAGGCAGGCTCAGACTCTTTCATCTGAGGAAGTCTTTCCAGTATACTCTGACCTTGGCTTCTGCCAAGGGCACACAGCCCTGGAGCCAAACCCTTCCCATCATGAATTATGACCCACAACCCAGCTCTCACAATTCTGGGAAGTGTCCTGAAAGGGTTGGGCAGCTAGAACATGTCTAAATAAAGGCAATTCCACCTGAGAATAGACATCTTTGGCCACTTTCCTGAACGCCTGCACATCGGGGCTCGTTTGCTCAGGGGGTAGGGCACAGGGATCAAGTGGCTGAGTGCTTTTCCTTCCTGGGCCTCAGTTTCCCCATCCGTAAACAGCAGGCATATAATAGGGGAGAGGACTCACGACCCTGTGAGTCTGGGTCTTTGGCTAGGGAGTCTAGTGCACCCCAAAGTGGGGTGGGGAGACTCTGACACTCTCTCCCGGTGGGGTTCACACCACAGATGTTTGGCTCTCAAGGAGCAGCAAACCCTATAAAGACAAGGGGAATTCCATGTGAGTATTCTGGCCCTTCCCTTGGCCCCTCCAACCACCAGGGCCCTAAGCTGCTTCCCAAGGACAAAGGGCAGCATGTGGCCCCCTCCCCGCTGGATTTTCCATCTACGCCAGTTTCTTGTTGAAGGCACAGGCAGGTCGAGATCTCGAGTCCTCTCCTAGCCAGGACAGAGTGGCCTCTTTCTGCAGCCATCATAATCCTGGATTAAAACAATAAGCTCCAACAAGTCTGGGTTTAACCCTTTCATCCCAGGAACGAGATTTAGGGAAATAATTTGGCATGTAATGCCAACTGACATTTCCCAATTTATAGGATGAGGCGGGTAGAGAGAAAATGTATAGTGTACAGAACATACATAAACTTTCTGCCCAGCATTTGTTCCGTTTTGTATATCATCTAGCCCTTTGATGACCAAGGATAGAGCGCTCCTGCTGTCACACTGTGTGTAGTTTCCTGAGTGAGGGGAAGAGGTAAGGAAGGCCTGGTACTCTGGACTGTGTGCTTCACGAGGCAGGGGCCTTATCTTGGTGCCGTCTTCTCTGGGCTGCAGGATACTGACAGGCCAGAGCCAAGAGCGGTGGTTCTGGACAGCCTGCCTAGGCTCCTGTTCTGGACTGCCACTTCCTAGCTGTGTCACCCTGACAGGTTGCTTAGGGGTTAAGTCTCAGTTTCCCCATCTGCTAACTAAGGACTCAGTTGTTAAGTGAGACCTGAGTCCCTTAAAGGGGTTAGCACAGGGTTGTTCACATTTACTATGATTATTGCTGTTATTAGTAGCACCATTATTTGTTAAATCACTCCCACCCCCTCACTGAGTAAAGAATGCAATCCCTCAACAGGCGCTGAAACCACCTGCCAAAGAGATGGCCCAGTAGTAGTCTGTACAGGATGTCGTGTTTGGAGTTGACACACCATCTCGAAGCTAGAGAGGGCGAGGTGGTGCTTTGTCTTTAGACTTTCAAAAACCTTTGACAGGGCTTCACACAAATCATCTTCCACAGAGGACGCTGTTGGGTAGCGGAGGGAACCAGCTGTCTAGACCATAAACAGGAGCTTCTCTCAGCAGAGAAGGAAGAGAGGGCATCCTTAAACAGGACTGCTTTGAACATACTTCATTTAACACCTCTCAAAGGATCTGGGTGGAGCCGCACAGAGCTTTCCTAAGACATCAAAGTGTCTCCATCCTTGCCTTCTTAAAGAAGGCTAACAAGTTCCCCACTGGGCTGGCCGTCTGGTGTGTGGGGACAGGTGTCCAAGACACCCCAGGTCGGGGGACAATGGCCTGCTCAGCTCTGGTGGCCAGGAATTCCTCTTCCTGAATTTCAGCCTGACTCCCCAAAGATGACTTATTAAATTGGCTTTCTTGAGCCCCTCTATTCATAAAAGTTGGGACCTGAATGAGATTTTAGTGTGAGGTGTGTGTGAGTGCGATAATGACTCGGCATGGAAGTCCCAGGTGGCACTAGCTGTGTGGTAGGACTTCAAGTGTTAGTTAGCATCCTTCCCTCTCCATCTAGGATTTAGAACACTAGATGCGTCAGGAGCACGGTATTTGAAAACACTGGTGAATGGTTAAATTACTTTTTCTTTCTAGTTTTGGTCTTGGTGGTTTGGGGAGTGGTAAGAGGGCTTCCCTCTAGCTTTCCTTTGAGTCTATATCTGAATCAGCAGGCAGGACTGGGAATAGCGAGGATAAGCAGGGTGGGCAGGGCTCAGTCATTTTTCCTTACATTCTTGCCTCGGGTGTCCTCAGGTACCTACAGCCCCGGGAATCCTGGGAAGTGAAGGGGTGTCTCTTCCCCCATGCTCACCCCCAGGACTCATCATGACCTCCTGATCCTAGGGGCCCAGAAGATCCAGAACCTGACTCCTGAGCAAAAATGACTCCAAACACTGGGCTACATGACACATGTACCAGGCCAGGGTTGAGGCCAATCTCAGAGCAGACAGCAGTGGGCAGCAGCTCAGACTCACAGATGCCCCCGGCACCCCCACTGTGAGTGTACTCTGACCATCCTTCCCAGTCAGGACACTGCCCACCCCCCTAATCACCTGGTGTGCCCACTTTCCCCAAGACACTGGCCGAGTGGCTAGAGCAAACTCTGTGGGATAGCAGGGTGGGATTGGAGGAGGAGAGATCCTTTACATGACCCCAGCACACCACCTCGATTGGGAAAGGAATCGGTGCAGTAAGTGCTTTGCATTTGTACACTTTCCCTAAGGGTTTTTACAACCATTATTTCCTTTTAGACTCACACAGTCCTATGAAATCAACCACACACGTACGAGTTGTCCCACTTTAAAGATGAAGAAACAGAGGCCAGGCAGGGGAACCGAATCCCACAAAGCAAGAGCACGTCGTTTGCAATGCTCTGCACAGTGCCTCATGCCCACTGAGTGGTTTTGCTGAAGTAGCAGGCAGGCCCAGCCTGGGACATGGGGTGACTGGCACCCTCTACTCTGTCTCAGAGTTGACAATCCATAGTGGCCCACTGTCCCCTGATCTGCCCTTGTGCTTTCTCAAGGTCTCCTACTCTCCCATTGATCGGTAAATGGAGGGACAATGGTGAGGAGGTAGAGAGAGAAAGGGTGCGCTCTGAGCTCTTACCTGTTCTGGTCTGAGTCCTGCAGGGAGATGCCTGAGTCCCAGTCCATGTCCCCAGATGGTTGCTCTAGGACCCAGAACAGAAGCAGAGATCAGGGCAGAGCCAGCAACGGGGCTCTCCACTGCCACTTGAGGAATGTCAAGGAGAAACGTGTCTCCAGAAGTCAGTTGCTTCCCAGATAAACCCGCTCCTCTCCTCTGCCTGTGTCTCCGCCTGAGAGGTGGAGGCATGGCCTGTCACGGTGGCTGTGGGAGGCCCTGCCGTGGGCTAAGGGGCCCACACGGGTCCTCTCGGGAGTGGGTGAGGAGTGAGCTCTTGGAATGGGAAGGAAAGAAGGGACAGAGGTGTCTTCTCAGGCTTGAACACTTGCACAGCCCAGTGGTGCTACTGCCTAAGTTCAGTCCACCTGACAAGATGCTCAGCCACTTTGTGGTGAGGGCACGTCATTGGAGGGCGATGCAAAGAGCCTCTAGAAAAGGCTACTTGCCACAGAAAAGCAGCTATGGTAGCCGCCATCCCCGAGCAGAGAGGGTGGCCTCCCATTGGCCTGGGGAGTCATGGGGGTACTCAGCAGATGGGGCTGGCTGTGGGGTGGTAAACACTCTATGTCAAGGCCAAGAACAAGAGGACATCCTGATGATTTTGGTGACAGGCAGCTCTCCTCCCTCTCCTGCCCCACCCCCTGTGCAGTACCCGCTTCTGCTTTTCCTTCTGGACTCCCTTCTGCTGTCCCCACCACCCAGACCTGCAGAGTGAGCCTCACCTGATACAGCTCTGTCCCAGGACAGAGTCCGGGCAGGGATTCCCACCTTGGGGGGGCCCTGCCCCCCAACAATGAGCATCTCCTGCAGAAGAAGGCGGTTCCTCTCCACCTGTTCAGACAGGGGCAAGGCGCTGCGCCCCGTGCCCAGAGCCCCCAGGTCTCCGGCTCTCCAGAGGCCCCCCAGCAGGGCCGGCCTGGGGACAAAGTCCTCCTCGGAGGTTAGAGACAAGCTATCCAGGTCTTCGCCTGCAACTAGAGCATCCTGCAGGGGGCATGACCTTCCTTTCCTCAGGTTGGGCACGTGGGTAATTTTGTTACAAGGTCTAGGGCCCCTAGATTGTCCTGAAGTGACTCTGTGGAGGGGGCTGTCTTGCAAAGAGCTGGACCCCGGCAGCAGACTCCTCTCATGGTCAGGCAGTATCCTTACTGTTTCTGGAGCCCACAGGCTCCTCCCACTGCAGCACTCTAGCCCAGGGGCGGGCGGCCTGGGAGGTCTGGGGCCCCCATTCATGGCGGGCTCCTTCTCATTGACACTGTTGTCCAGCGGTCCCTCGTTTGGGTTCTGAGCATGGAGAACCACAACCGTATCCAGCAAGGGAGACCCTGATGATGGAGTTCTGGCTCCACCCACTTTGACTCGTCGGCATTTGGGTTTCTTGGGGGACGGTCTCTCATGGGTCGTGAGGCAGGGGCTTGCCCCCTGTTTGCCTGCTGTCATACTTTCCTTCAAGGCCCTGACCTTGGACTCCAGCACGGAGGGTCCTTGGGACTGTATCCCCCATGCCCTGGGAGGGTGGGGGACCATCTGGCTGGGTGTTCTGTCTTCCTGAGGGCAGAACCAGGGTCTTGGGAGGTGTCCATTATTGGGCTGTGGCTCAGTGCCACTTCTCGCCATAGCTGAGGTCACTTCCATGGAGCTGGTTATTCTGCTCCCTATGTTGGACTCTCTGGAAAATAAAATAGACAGAGCTCCTTAGACCCAGCGCCTGGCTAGCTCCAGCAACTTCCTGGGTCCCCAAAGTGCCTTCATATTGAGCCCTATCCAGACAAGAGTAATCTGGGGCAGAGCAGGGAATAAACACCCTGTAGATAATGTGAAAGCACTTTGAAAAGCAAAAATCACTGAATGATACAAAAAGGTATTATTAAATTTAGGTTTTCTAACTCCGTTTTACAGAGGGGGCACAAACATCAAACAACTAATCCTAAGCCAGATGTGGACCAGAGTGAAAAGCCAGGTCAGATCTCCCAATGCCTGGCCTCTTGTTTTCATGGCATGTGATCTCAGTGAAGATGTGATATCACACAGGACCTCAGGGTCTGACCGTTGGGTGGAA